TTAGAGCGTTGGTCTGCGGTCCGTAGAGACCCGGGTTCGGTTCCCGCTAATGGCACGTACTTCGGTTGCGGTTTGTCCCCGACCCTGGTTGGTCGTGCGGGTGGCAGCCACTCGATGTGTCCCTTCACGTCGATGTTTCTCTCTCTCTCTCTCCCTTCCTCTCTCTCCCTCCCACTCTATTTGTACAAAAAATGGAAAAATATCCTCGGGTGAGGATAAAAAAAAATAAAAATAAAATAAAAAAATAAATAAATAAATAAATAAATAAATAAATAAATAAATAAAGAGCAACATAAAAGCAATACTTTAGCTTGCTTTATTATAAAAATGAGAAAGAATTCTCATTATACTACATCGAGTTTTAATAAACTCTACAAATAGCCTATCAAGAATAGTTTGATTTCACTGACTTGTCAGAGATAATACCAGTAAAATGTAATTAAAAATTTATTTAAAACCTCTTTTGTTCTGGCCCTGGCCGGTTTGGCTCCGTGGCTGGAGCGTCGGCCAGTGACAGAGAGTCCGGGGTTCGGTTCCCATTAGGGGCACGTACCAAAAACATAACATAACATAACATAACATAACATAACATAACATAACACCTCTTTTGTTCTGTAGTTATTGAGCTCTTAAGAGAAAAGAACTAAGAGAGCCACTGAGATGTACAGGACAGTCTCTGTTCTACAGAAGCTTCCTCCTCATGAAACAGAACGACACCGAACGCAACTGACCACACTAAGAAAGATGCTGTGTACAATCACGAGTGGTTCCGAAAACTCCAATGCGGGAAAAGTCACGTGTGGGCTCGGCTGGGGCTGATCTAGCCTTTAAGCCAGATCCCAGGGGGCTGGCAGGACTACTGTAGAGATGGGTAGGTGGTGGGCCAGGTAGAAAAGACATGGAAGACTGTGAGTCAAAAGGAGGTTCCGTGAAGTAGCTGAGTGGTGCTGGGCCGGAAAGGACAGCCCAGGTGGACTGTGGAGAGCCTGCACACTCGGCCGAGCCACTTGGGGTTCACTCTAACAGGAACAAGGAGCCTATGAAGGTTTCTGGGAAGGGAAGTAGCATGATGTGATTTTAGGAAGATCCATCTGATGATGGCACACTGCATCTAGTGCTACAAGGCCAAAAGGCAATCACCCCACAAAAGGCCAGTGGATTTATAACTAAAATATCGAAGGTGTGCTATCATGGTGTTATCACAACTGGTTGAAGGAAGATTAAATAGTTCAATTATTTTCCTCATCTCCCACCTATCATTCTTTCCTATAGATGCTTCTTCATGAATGCAGTTACTGAGCTGTCTGAACTGTACTACGTCCACCTGGGATACATAAAAAAGTTTCTTGTGTGCAAAGAATTTAAAAGTCACACTGGAAAAATAACCCTTACTCAATTAGAAAGGCAAGTGGAGCCATACATGCCACCCAGGGGGTCCTGTTTCCCTGGGCATGCCACCCAATGATACTACACCCATGTTTCCCTGGGCATGCCACCCAATGATACTACACTCAACGTGTCACTCCAAACACAGAGGGGACAGGAGTTCAGGGAAGAAGCAAGCATAAGAGGTATGACAACATTAAACTATTTTTTAAAAGGAATATAGGTTAAAAAAATAAAACTGTATATTTTTATATTACTCATTTCTATACATTTCCACTATCTGAAAGTCAAGTATTTACATGGAATGTATATCTTTTTCAATGTCTGAAATTTCAAGAAAGATAATTTCTGGATATCTTTAAAAACACATGGGCTCTAAGGGGAAAATCTGGATGTTTTTGGAGACGAACAGTGAACAATGGGTCAAATTAAATTCCAAATGTAATCTGGGGTAAATTAATTGGCAAAATTTTCAAAGTACATGGTCTGAGCAGCTGCTTAAGTTCTTTTTTATTTAAATTGGAACCAAATTCTTGAAACAGTTACGGTTAGACTACATCAATCAAATGCTAACGTCATCTTATTCTATGATATTGCAAAACTCCAATTTGAGAACGTCTGGCTGGGTGGCAGGGAGCCTATTTCAGAAACTGCTAGAGATGGACATTCGCAATGAATGACACTGGAAATGCATTAAAGGAAGTGGAAGGTGTCTCACCCTGGAGGAGATAGTGGTGAGAAAGAGCATGCTAGAATGTTGGAAATGTATCCCACATATCTCATTATTACAACTATTATAATTAACGCTGTTAACACCAACAGCTACCCTTTACCACAGGGCTACAGCAGGCTCCATGGTAAGTGCTTTACATCTACCAGATAATTATATCATCTAAATATCTACTCGATATTTATCCCTCACAAAAATCCTAGGAGTTAATAATTATTTTCCCATTGAACAGAGCAAATTAATTTCTGAGCTGCAGTTTTGTCAAGGAATTTCCTCAAGATTACATAGCTTGTAAATGGGAAAGCTGGGACTTGACCCAGGTCCTGTTCGATATAGTTTGAAGCCTCCCTTATTTCCAGATGCTAAGAATACCATGGTGAGCGGAAGCTGGCATGGCAGGTGAAACTGACGTGAATCAAGACATGAATCAAATAATCCCACAAAGAAATGTTAAAATTCAACTGTGACAAGAGAAATGGATATGACCTTGGCAGGGAGGGGCTGGAGGACAGTTCTTCCCTGAGGAGGTCTGATGCAACCTGAGATTGAAGGGAGGAATACCTGCGGAAAGGGGAGGGGGCAGCATTCCAGGCAGAAGGCACTGGTCCTGCAAAGGTGATGCGATAGGAAGGAGTGTGGTGAGGGTGGAAGAGCAGAGGGAGATGGCGGCCAGGGTGTGATGTGAATCCGGCAACTTCTGATTCATTAGGCAAAACTATCTCCTGCACCCCATGCACAGTGTTTTATAGGCCACATTAAAAATTCTTGTTTTTGCCCTGGCCGGTTTGGCTCAGCGGTTGGAGCGTCGGCCTGCGGTACAGAGAGACCCGGGTTCGGGTTCGGTTCCCGCTAAGGGCACGTACCTCGGTTGCAGTTTGTCCCCGGCCCTGGTTGGTCGTGAGGGTGGCAGCCACTTGATGTGTCCCTTTCACATCGATGTTTCTCTCTCTCTCTCTTCCTCTCTCTCCTCCCGCTCTATCTGAACAAAAAATGGAAAAATGTCCTCGGGTGAGGATAAAAAAAAAAAATTCTTGTCTTTATCTCAAACACACTGAGAATTCACTTTATTGCTGGTTGTGATGGTTGTCCTTGGGTTTGGGGTGGGGGGTGAAACTAAGGCAGCAGTGCCTTGTAGCCTCTTATAGGAATCTTTCAGGGGCGGGGATAAAAATGGATGTTTCAGGGCATGAACCTCTGTGTTCTAGAATAGACATCTATTATATATCTAAACACCCCCAAAGTGGAGAGTTAAGCTGCAAATAGAATGGCACTGCAGTCTCTCTAGGTAAATGAAGGCATGGCTGAGGTTACCTCGGAGGGCCCAGGGCCCAAGGGAGTGGGCTGGAGGTGCACCGTGAGAGGCCCTAACACAAAGTGGGGAAACCAATTTCTCACTGAGAGGCACAGCAGATGACCATTTTCACACGTCAGCAAAAGATCAACAGATGAAGTACGCAGTTAAGGAAAGAAAAACATTTCTAAATATACATCTAAGACATGTTTTCAAACTTGCATGTAAATAAGAATCCCCTGGAAAGCTTGTGAAAAATGTAGATTCCTGGCTTGTTACAGGTAAGGCCTACGAAACTAGATTTTTCATAAACTCCTGGGGGGGTTCTGACTTAAGAACTTAAACATTCAGGCATCAAATAAAGTATTTCATTGCAGAAACTTAACTACAGGAATAACTTTATAAAACAAATTTCTGATTTTATATTTGTCAAGGCAAAATGAAACACGGTCACTAGTAAAACTTACTTCTAGAAATAAACTGAATAAGCAGAATCCGCTTGACTGGTAAAATACATAGTGTTTAGTTTTCTTGTTTTTTTTATCCTCATCCAAGGACATTTTTTTATTTTTTGTTCAGATAGAGCGGGAGGGAGAGAGAGAGAGAGAGAGAGAAACATCGACATGAGAGGGACACATCGAGTGGCTGCCATCCACACGACCCAACCAGGGCCGGGGACAAACTGCAACCAAGGTACAGGTCCTTAGCGGGAACCAAACCCGGGTCTCTCTGGACCGCAGGCCAATGCTCTAACTGCTGAGCCAAACCAGCCAGGGCCATAGTGTTTAGTTTTTAATAACCAATTTTTATAAATAATTTAAATCTGGAGTTCCAAGTGGCCCAAAAATGTCACTGTATGCTACATTGTGACGAGAAACTCAAACATCTGGACAGTGGTATATGTGTTTTTAATTATTAGATTTTATTTTCTATCAAAATTAATAGAGCCCATCTCATACAGAGAAAATTATTTTCTGCTAGGACACAACTAAAACTCTGAAGGTTTTCTTTTTAGTTCAGGGTTTCTCAACCTTGGCACTTTATAATTATTGTAGGTTATTATTTAAACGAACAAGTGACCTTCAAAAAAAACAAGTGACTAAGTTCAGGAAGGCGAAATCACTGGCCTAATGCACACATCTGAGGAACAACGTCTGCAAAGATTCTAAACTGAAGGTATTATTTATTCCTTTTGCTCAAAACACCATTACACAACCTAACACTTGGGATCTTTCTTAATCCAGCAAGAGTAGGAAACACTTATTGGGCTCTTCATAGGAACAAACAATGCACATTCCTGTTTTATTTTCAAAAATAATTAGCAGCAGCTGCTACTTACACAGAGTTTTTAACAGAATATTTTACATACTGAACCCAAATATTTCAGAATTTACAGAGCCTGACGCCAGATTAAGTACTTGGTCTTTTTAAAATTTAAATTACGGCATGACAATTCACTTGTACATTCCTTCATCTAATTAAAAAAAAATTGAATAAAGCATTTTCCTGGGACTCAGAGAAAACAGCTGGACACATCTGTCAACTATGTATCTCTGGAGTAAAAGGAAAACAATGCTTGAACATGGTACTTACATGTGAGGGCTCAGTTCATAAAAATTTCTATTCCTGTAATCTTCTACTTTCTCCGGTGAATAAATGGGCAATGACCGGTATGGGTTAACAGAGATAACCACACTTCCAATGTATGTCTGTAAGAGAGAGAGTCAATATACCCATTAGTACATACACAGTGTGTATTTTAACATCTTAAATCTTAGTGTTGCACAGTTTCATGCTTTTAAAAAACACTAGTTTGACATGACCATTCATTTTATATTTTTCAAGAACACTTGACATCTCTCAAGACAAATGTTAACAATGTTTATTTGTTTTGAAGATAAATGAAAAGTATAGATTTATACACTGAAAATACTTTTCAAAATATCTAGATTAATGATCCTGGGTAAGAGCTCTCCAAAGCCCTTGCCAAAAATTAAGTCACCAAGTGTGAGCAAGAGCTATGCATTCCCTGATCTGGTTAGAATCTGGTGTTTCCTTCTCTCTTCTTTATCCTCCTGTTTCAGTCTCTAGCCACCCAGGGCTCCCCTCCCTCCTCTCTACCCACAGCCATTCCTATAAAAAAAAAAGGACCTTGACTTTGGCACTGGCCTTACACAAGCCTATCAATCTCTACAATGGGATCAGTCCACATACAATTCAATACCAGGGCCACAGCTATCTGTTGGGCAGTCAAACAATTTTATATTATATCTAACATGCTGTAATGTCAGAATTTACATGTACTTTCTGAAGGAGAGTCCATTTAATATCAAATTAAAATTTAATGCAGAATTTAGATGTACTTTTGAAGGCATCAATGCTATTATTTCAGCAGACACTAACCCTTTCACACTACAAAGCAGAATATTAACTTTTCCTCCTTTGCATTTCTATCTTAAATTCCTGGCAGCCAGAGCGGTGCTGGTTTAGGTCATTTTGTACAAAGACTAGTACAATGCCACAAGCAAAAGTCACTTAACTGGAACTCATCTCAGCAGCATCATTTTTCCTTTCAGTTTCAACATCATAAAACTGGGGGATGGGTGCTAACAAAAAAGTAGAAGTGATAAAAATTTTTTAAAGAAAAAGGTGAAAGGGAAGAAAAGGTCACTTCTGACTCCCCCACCTTTCCAGTATCATACAACAAAAGGTAGCATTTCCAGAGCAACAAGTTTTTCCAGTATTGCCACCACTGAATTCGAGGAGACTGTCAGATCTTTCTAGAAAATGAAACAGAATAGAAAACAGAACAGTAGAAAATGCTCTGATTTTTTAAAACACGGATCACAATTATTTTAATTATAAAAGACTTTTCCCTAAAACTGGAAAACTGACATGTCATTTTTCTTTTTCTCCCCCCCACCCCCCGAGGACATTTTTCCATTTTTTGTTCAGATGGAGTGGGAAGGAGAGAGAGGAAGAGAGAAAAAAAGAGAAACATCGACGTGAAAGGGACACATCAAGTGGCTGCCTCCTGCACGACCCAACCAGGGCCGGGGACAAATCACAACCGAGGTACGTGCCCCTAGCGGGAACCGAACCCGGGTCTCTCTGGACCGCAGGCTGACGCTCTAACTGCTGAGCCAAACCGGCCAGGGCTGAACATGTCATTTTTATACACACTTTTGTTCTATAAGAACATAATCTTATTGAAAACAGATTTGCTGTTGTGAAAAAAAATCTCAGTTCCCGTGCAATTTTTTACATTTATTTCTGACATTCTATCACTAGGACCCAATTAATCTGGCCTAACAAAAAATGACTTAAAATAAAAATGACTCCAAGTTTCCTAACATCCTTAACAAGACTTTTTTACAATGTTTCTTCATACTCCAACCACCCTAGGAAAGTAGATGAGAGATGCTAGAAACTGGATAACTAAATGAATTGCTAATTTATCATCATTAGTTACATCAGTAGATATGAAAATATAATGATTGGTTATTCCTTTAATATCTGTTGATTAAATGATCAGCGTTCCTGCCCTGGCCAGTTTGGCTTAGCAGTTAGAGAGTCCGCCCACGGACCAAAAAGTCTCGGGTTTGATTCCGGTCAAGGGAATGTACCTCGGTTGAGGTTCGGTCCCCGTCCCAGGTCGGGGTCATGAGGGAGGCAACCAATCGATGTGTTTCTTTCATATCAATATTTCTCTCTTGCCCTGGCCGGTTTGGCTCAGCAGTTAGAGCATCAGCCTGTGGTCCAGAGAGACCCAGGTTCGGTTCCCGCTAAGGGCATGTGCCTCGGTTGCAATTTGTCCCCAGCCCTGGTTGGTCATGCGGGTAGCAGCCACTCGATGTGTCCCTTTCACGTCGATGTTTCTCTCTCTCTCTCTCTTCCTCTCTCTCCCTCCCGCTCTATCTGAACAAAATATGGAAAAATGTCCTCAGGTGAGGATTAAAAATAAATAAACAAAAAATATTTCTCTCTTTCTCTCTCTCTCCCCCCGCCCATTCTATCTGAAGATAAATGGAAAAAAAGTTTCCTCGGGTGAGGATTAAAGAAAAAAAAACAAACATGGATCAGCCTTCCTTATTAGAAAAGGTATATGAATTTACCTTGTTAGGTCATTTCTTGAATTCAGGAATCAAATATATATATTTGCTGTTAGCAGAAAAACCAATTATCACATTGCTCCTTAAAACCAAACTTCAGCGTGGCTGAACTCTTGATAAAAATCTGCCTCTGTGGCATTCATTCTTGCATAGAGAACAAACTGCTGCCTCAATCCCAGTATCAAAAGCCACACCACCAAGTTATGTGTTTGCTATTTGTGACTTTTAGTTTCCCTATCACCCAGAACAGGTCTGACCCATTAATGACATCCCATATATATTTGTTAACCAAATGACTGATTCACAGAGGACATGCTCATCACTAACAAAGCAGACAGTACAAACACTAACTCTCGTACAAGTATTCTTCTGTTGAAATGTAGTGTCGAGTACACTGAATACAGCGCCTAATATTTTATTAAACCAGCATGCCATGTGTTGCCACTGAACAAATCCTTAAACTATATGCTTACACCTCAGGTTCTTGGTCCTACTGTGAAAGATTGTTTGCAAAGATGGTTGGAACAAACCCTTCCAACCCTGTATGCACACTACTCGGAAATGTGACTGCTACTCTTTCTACCTAGAGTTTATTTATCTACCCCTTCAATCCGGACTTGTGTAATGTAACTTTGTTTGACCAAAGGGACATTATAAGATAAGACAAAGAGGCTTGAAAAGTATTTGTGTATTGGGATGTGCTCCTTTTTTTATAACTGTGCCTGGAAGCCATGATGTACATGAGTGTGTGGAACCTTTTGGTGATGTCATGTAGAAAGCCAAGGTGCTCTCAACTGCACAGCCTGACAACCATCATCAGATGTAGGAGAGGCCGTTCTAAACCATCCGGCCCCAGTTACACCAGCAGATACCTAAAGCCACGTGTGTGATCCCAGGTGAGACCAACAGAAGACACACCAAGCTGAACTCAGCCTCAATTGCTATGCCAAAGAACTGCTTTAAGCCATTAATTTTTGGAGGGTGGTTTGTCACATGGCAACAATTACTGATAATACCAACACAACTCAACAAGTCAGAAAAGGGGTCAGGCAGGACAAGCATTATCAATCTAAATAAGCAAGCAGGAAAAGAAACAATGTTATCGCTACATTCCATTGTGTGTTTCAAATATGTATTCTCTAATCCTGAACTCCTCATAGGTTTGTCCTCTACTATGATACATGCCCTTGCTGTTTATGGGTTTCTTCCTTCAAGGTTCTATGTGCATTAGGCAAAGATTTAAATACCCCACACTGCCAATAAGATAACTTAAATGCTGACAGGTACAGCCCTCCTTTCTGAGACTGGAGAACGACTGGCCCATAAGGCCCATGAAATCAATACCAGCTAACATCACTCGCCTCACCAAGTTAGCCTGACCAAATATAGCAGGCTAATTTTTAAGTCGATAATTCTGTATGGCCTTGAATGTTATAAATATCCAAATGGCCCTTGGCAGATAAAAGGTTCCCCACCCCTGCTTTAAGAGGACAATGAAAGCTATGAACCTTCTCTCCAGGAAAAAACACACAGATAATACACACATAAAAGTCTGCATACAGGTGAGAGACCAGGTTAAGAACTCCCACCCTAAGGGAAGAAGTAATGGCAGGTAGTAAGTAGCAAAAGGAAATGATGGGGAGGGGGAGGGGGGAGAGGAGGGGGAGGAGAGGGGGGAGGGGGAGGAGAGGGACAGAGAGGGAGAAAGAGAGAGAGAGATAGAGAGACAGAGAGAAAGAGAAAAAGAGAAAGCAGCAAACAAAGAAAAGGAGCAAGAAGTGATCAAATAATTCTAAAAGTATAAAAATGAAGTCTTTTAGAGTAAGAGCCAGCAGCTCAGCTCAGCTGGCCCTGAGTTAGTGTGCAGCATAATAGTCAAGGACTAGAATGAGACAGAAAATTCTGTTTTGGGTGACAAAGCTACATGCAACACATTTTGGAAAGATATGTAACCAAAAAGAAACTTTTTCAAGTTAAATAGTGAAGCAGAGTGGGCAGAGGAGGAGAAAATAAAGACATCTGTAACAGTGTCAACAACAAAGTTAATAAAAAATAATGAGGCACCATTTTAATATTCTATGAGTCACAATTACGTACAACTGTGCCGTGTGTTCCTCCGTGATGCCAGAGAAACGAAACATTAGTACACATGCACCAAAAAGTCAGAGGAGTTTCACATCTGGCATGTCATAGTTCTGCTTAGGGCAACATTCAGATCTTTAGAAGCACTAAAACCCTGTAGGTTTACATTTCAATTTCCCATATGAAACGGAAAATAAAATTGTAACTAAGCCCTGGCCGGTTTGGCTCAGCAGTTAGCACGTTGGCCCGAGGACCAATGAGTTACGGGTTCGATTCCGGTCAAAGGCATGTACCTCAGTTGCAGTTTGTCCCCAGTCCTGGTCGGGGTCATGCGGGAGACAATCAGTCGATGTGTCACTCTCACATCAACATTTCTCTGTCTCTCCCTCCCACTCTATCTGAAGAAAAATGGAAAAATATCCTCAGGTGAGGATTAAAAACAAAACAAAACTGCAACTAAACCATGAAATAATGTCAGGAAATCCTATAGTGACTTGTTTTCACCATAATGGCTA